CTGTACCTGAGGCCAGTTCAACCTATAACCAGCCCACCTCCCCGCCGATGATCAGAAAAACACGCTTCATGGAGTCAGACTGTTTCCGCCATATGTATGGCTCCTTTGAAGGCGAGATCATCATCATTGGTAAAAAAAGATTGTTGGACCACTTATTTTCAAAAAGCAAGAATTTATGGCAAACACATTCGAGAACATCTCATAACATCATGTTTTTGGTATGTATCAGGGTTATTGTAAACTAATGGAAGCTTTAATTTGGGCTTTATATTTCATAATTTGGACTTTTAACTGACAATTCTGAGAAGAAAAATTGGAAGTGTGAGATGTAAACACAATTGCAAGAAAAAGTCAGAATTGTGAGAAAGTTGCAATTACCTTTTTTTACTGTTTTTTTTCCATGGCGGAAACATAAAATCAGAATTGCAAGATACAAAAGATTGCAAGATACAAACTCACAATTGTAGGTCAGAACCGCAAGATGTAAACTCACAATTCTGAAAAAAAAAAAAAATCAGAATTGAGGTAGAACTCAGAATTGTGAGATGTAACCTCGGAATTGCAAGAAAAAAGTCAGAATTCCTTCAGAATTGTGAGGAAAAAGTCTGAATTGTGAGATGAAAAAAAAAGTCACAATTTCCTTTATTTATTTATTACATTTTTAAAAAATCCCATGGTGGGATTTCAGCTAGTTGCCAAGGCAACATGTCTCTTTTCCGTTTAGTTTGTTGTACTAAAATAAATAAAACTAAATAAACTAAAACAATAAAAACTACATAAACATACTTTAAAAAAAATCAAAAACTAATAAAAATGAAAAAAAAACACAACAAAATTACTAAAATTTTAATTAAAAATAAAATGAAAACATTCAAAATAAAAGCAAAACAAACTGTAAGTCAATGATAAATGATACAAAACACACTTTGTGCTTTGTATTGTACTCCATTATATACAAAAGCTTTATCAATGTAATTTTTTTATTATTAAATAATAGTAATTAATTTATAAAACATAAGATAATGAATTATAAAATATAATTTTAAATATTCAGTTTTATGTCTGTTTCTACAGAACCTCCTCCAGCTCTGCAGAACCTGTCAGCCAATCAGATTTTAAAGGTGTCGGCTGACAAAGTGACCAACACATCTGTAAACTTCATGGTGACTTGCTCAGGCAGGTAAGATTCACAAACGCAAATTTGTCACGCAAAGACAGGAGCTCACATGCTTCACATAACAAGCCAAAAATTGAAGAGCATTTATTAGATGTAGATGAATCTGATCCACAGTGAGCATTTGAAGCCCTGCAGCTGAGACATTTCACAGCATGTCACCATCATAAACGTAAAAAACATTCAGTCACATTTACAACACCGATGACCTCTGGATCACACACAAACATGTTACACACATTCAATCTCTCTTTTTCTCAGTGTTCCCTCAGTGGCCTGCACCATAGTGACCAACTCCGCCTGTCGGGAGGTCAAGAATATCGTGTGTGAGGACATGGCTCCTTACGGCGAAGGATGCAAGATCAGTTTGACGCGCATTTTCCAAACACCTGGCAATTACTGTGTTAACATCACATTGGGTCTGCCTGGAGGCTTGGCTCTTGCCACCACTACCTCAGTTACAATTGGCAACAGCCCTGACACAAGTCAGTCTTGAGAATTAGTTCATTTTGTCTATATATTTATTTATTTTCAATGTATTTTTATAACATTTAACTAATATATAGTTTCGAAGAAGCATCACACAGCAGTGTTATTTTTTAGTATTATTTAGATACTATTATAGTATTTATTTATGTTTTAAATCAGCTTTGATTTTTATAATTTGCTTCAAGTTTTAGTCATTCGGTGCATTTTCAATCTTATTCTATTTAGCGTTTTCATTTCGGTTTTAGTCATTTTAAATACGTTTTTTCAAGTTTAAGTAAAGTTTTTTTTTAGGCCTATCTAATGCTTATATTTTATTTTAGCTTTATTTCAGTATTTTTTACTGTTATAGTATTTATTCATGTTTTGAATTGGCTTTTAGTTTTAGAATTTGCTTTATTTTTAATTTTAGTACGTTTTAGTGCCATTGTCATTTTTAATAGTTTATTTTTAAAACATTTCGGTTTAGCTTTATTTTAGTTCATTTTTAATAAGTTTGTTTTTAATAAGTTTTTTTCATCTGATGTTTATACGTAATTTTATTTTAGTTTTACTTCAGTATTGTTTATATACTATTTTAGTATTTTTAATATTTTGAATCAGCTTTTATTTTACAATTTGCTTTAAGTTTAATGTTTTAGTAATTTTACTAAGTTTTATGTGCTTTTGTCATTTGTATTAGTTTGTTTTTTAAACATTTATATTTAGCTTTATTTTTTTATTTCAGTTTAGCATTTTTAATACTTTAATCATTTTATTTCAGTTAGTTGTCTAAGCAACATTTATACTTTTAGTTTTTTGTTAAGGTTATCATCTAATATTTATATTTTATTTTATTTCAATTTTAAAATAAATAATTAGTAACACTGCTAG